GTGTGGGGGGGAGGGTGTGGGTGGGGGGGAGGAGGTCAGAGGCTGTCAAGGGGATGGGCAGGCGTGTGCCAGCTTGCAGGGGGTGGGGGGGACTGTTCCCAGAGCTCCAGCCTGTGCAGCAGAGGGGGTCTGAGGTGGTAAATGTGTGAGCACTCCTGGGGAGAGGGGGGGTTCACGTGTCTCTCTTATCTTTTCTCCCCAGATCTAATGGCTTAAGAGGGAGGACAGAACCAGTCCAGCGGGACAGAATTGGGGGTGTTTGGGGGCGGCTTGCACCAGCACACGTGCCACCACGTGTGTGCGTGTGGTGCGTTCAGGAACAGCGCTGGGGAGAGAGGTGTGTGCTGTTTCTGAGGTGTGAGCCTTTTTCTTCCTGCAGAGGTGTGTGTGTGTGTGTCTGGGAGGGGAAGGGGAGGACGGGCCCTGTGGGCTGGAATGTCCCTATCTATCTGTCTGGGCCCTGGGTGTCTGCAGGAGCAGGCGTGTCCCTCCCAGGGCTCTGCACGAGGGTCTCAATGCCTCTCTGTAGCAGAGGGTGCTGTGCGGCTGTGTGCATACGTGTGTTTCCTGGGGCTCTGTTTGTGCTGGCCGACTTCCCTCCTGGTCACTCTCAGATCTGGAACAGCCAGGAGATCTCCCTCCCCCCAAACACCTCCAGCAACTTTTCCACTCCCAGCCTAGGCATGCTGGCTTCTTGGCAGAACAAGAGGCCAGAGGAGTCTTATGGAAGTGGGGTTGGGGCACAGTGTCTGCTCCCAAGGTACTGTCCACTCTGGGGGTGAGGGAGAAAGAGGCAGGACTGGCAGAGTGGGGCTCATGGGAGGGGGCGTCCCGGCCACTCTGCTCCACACCCCACCCCAGGTCTGGCTTGAGTCCCCATGTGTTTGTTGACTTATATACTTTCCGGGAAGCGGCCGGATGCCAGGTTGCTGGCCCAGGGGTGTGGGCATCTTTGGCAGTCCCTGGCTTGAACCAGAAGCCTCTTACAGATGGAGTGTGGTGGGGAGTGGCAAAGACCAGTTTGGCAGTGCCTGGGAGGGTAAATAAGGAGGCCCTGGGAGGAAGAAGGGCACAGAGAGGGCACGGCCCAGCAGCAACCTGAACAGCCTGGCAGATGTAGGGGTGAGGGGCCTGCAGCTTCCAGTGCTGGGGACAGGGGCAGGATGAAGGGGACAGAGGACAACCAGGTGGGTGCGGCGAGGACAAGGAGAAGGTGGCATCACCACCAGTTGCACCTCAGAGCCCCTGGGACCTGAAAAGGCCTTGGGGGACATGATGGCCAAGCCTGCTGCACCAGGGAAGCCCTGTTTGCAGAGCCTCTGCTCACAGTCTTGAAGCTCTCCGGGACCCTGGATCGGGAGAAATCCTGAGTCCAGACTGGGGCGGCTGGGATGGGAGAGGACAGCAAGAGTCTTCCCTCTCCACTAGGCCTGGAAGAGGGGTCTCTGCCCAGGCACCCCCAGCCCTGG